TATCTGTTCCTCGCAAATTCACACTTCAAAAAAAACTTGAACCATGCCCTCAAGAAACCAATATTTAGCGCACCTGCTCGAAAAGGAGCAAACATGAATCACAAATTCTAAAAGAAATTTTACTGTTTAAAAAAAAAAAAAAGTTAAAAAACTGAGGATGAAGCGACTTGTCCTGTCGCCGTCAGCCTGGTCCTCGATGTCACCTGACACAGAAACACTCAGGATAACAGCATAATAAGATCATATTAAAGTAATATTGCAGTTTTTATAACTGCAGGTCACAGAGATTCTTGTATTGTATTTAAAATATTTTTGTTTCTGCTGTTTTATTTTGCATAAAATCTCACACCAACAAGACCTGTGACCTAGCATCGTTATCATTAATTATATTAAATTTGGGGGAAAATATTCAATACTATTTGTAGAATTATTAACATCTATAGTCAATAGTCAATAGTAAAAAAAAAATCAATAGTAAAAATAGTCAATAGTCAATAGTCAAAATCAATAGTAAAAAAAAATTATCTTGAACTTTTTTTTCACCTTAAAATCAAATCACATGTAACAGCAAATGTGTGATTACTAAAAACTGACTTAATTAAACCAGTATTTGGGACTGAATTAATCACCTTAAAATCAAATCACATGTAACAGCGAATGTGTGATTACTAAAAACTGACTTAATTAAACCAGTATTTGGGACTGAATTAATAAAACGAGAACAGCAGTAGAAACATCAAAGACGTGAACAGCCGTTAACGTGGTATTACACACGATCAACAGTGTGAACATACAGTAGGTGTCAAGATTTTTTGGTCGTGAGACAGTTTTTTTGTTTTTAAAACTCATGTTAGATTACACTTGTTTTAACATTTTGAGCATATGCTTAGGGCCAAATGGACAGTTCAAGAATCTGTCAGTGGTGAACTTGTTTTTAACTGACGTCACTCCGCTCCTAAACAGGAATAACATGTGTGATAAAATAGAAGAAAGGAAGAATAGATGGATGGATGAAGGATGACTGTATATATCTGCAGCAGGCGGAAAACCTTTTTGTCACATCTAAATCATTAAGGATGACTGTATATATTTGCAGCAGGCAGAAAACCTTTTTGTCACATCTAAATCATTTAGATTTCTTTATCCAAACTAAATTTCTAGCTCACAGTCAGTGGTCCTCATTAAAATGACATATAAACCAGCTCACTTTCACCCGCTAACTGAAGAGCTGAATTAACCACCGCCATACTGCTGTGTTATGTCAAGGGTCACATGTGTAAATGGACCGGGGGACAGTGAAAGTACTGCAGGGCCCCGCACCGCAAAAAGAAGCGCTAAGGACAGGTGTGTTACACAACCAGCCCAAGTATCCCACCGTTGCAGAGGGCTAAAAGCCTTGCATAACTCACCAATTCAACCCACCCGTCACATTTAGTGTACATTAGCAATCCCGCAGAGCTGTTCCTCATCACTTAAGAGCTAAAAATTCCAGTTCTGACAAGTGGCCCCCGTCCTTTCTCTGGCTCAGTGTGGAAATCTAGTACCACTCACCGGGGGCACAATGGACTATTTCAGTCCCTTCTGTGTGTTGTACGTAGGCGACACGATTCGGCAGAGGAGCCGAATGAACCGTGGAGGTGATGCACTCGCTCAGCCTACTCCACCGAGCTGCATCTGCGGCTGGAGCTCAGGAGCGTACGTCTTTGGGACTATTTTTAAGAAGAGCAGATCGTTTGCAAAAAAAATAAATAAATAAACAAGCAGCGTTGAGGCCACAACACAAACGGCTGAATCTTTTCACCTAGACAAACCCGTTCTCTGATGGTTTTCTTTACCTACGAGGCGTTTGTTGAAGCCATGAATACATAGTATGAAAATGACATTTCAGAGGAAAAGAATCTCGTGCGAGCGTGCGAGGGATCTGTAGGTCTGAAGACTCAAGGACGAATTAGAAACATCTTCGTTTATTATAGTAACAAAATAATTGCTTGATTGAATTGAATGAATTTCCTCCATTTAATCCCAGGTCTTCTCTGCCTCGTCTAAGAGGAAAAAAACAAGATGGAGCTGAATAAAAACCTGTTGCAAAGTTTGGATATTTCGTTGGCCCTCAGGTTTGGTTAGAAGTGAGATTTTTGCTCGTATTTTTTTTCTCCTTGAGGCTTGAAAACCTCTGATGAAACAGCTCAACACCTGACAAAGATTTAACGATGAATCTTGTCAAAACTGTCGGACAGAAATGAAAGCCTGTGTCTATTGTTATTGAACGTAGACGTCCAATAATGTAAAACATCTGTTTTTTTACTTTGTGCAAATGGAACGTTTCCTGATTTGCCATTTTTGAGCTGAATTCACATTAAAACTATTTTTAAGCCGAGAAAAAGGTTGTGATTTTTTTTTTAATCTGTCATCTTTCAGAAGAGCCAACATGTGTTGGACTGTATGTGTCAGCCTCAACTGGACGTTTATACCAAACACAGATGATTTGATTGGACTGTAAAACAAACAACTCCACCCAATCAATGTGAACAAAACGTCCAGTTTCATTCATATCAAGTCAGAATAGAATTGAACGGAAAATCTCTAACGGAGACCTGATTCGTTTGTAGGGGGAGAGCGGTGGGGTGGGTTGTGAGGATCTGTGTGTGTTTTTACCAGCCAGTACCAGCCAGGCACCGGGCCAACTATTTCTGGGCAAAGGGCAAGTGTCATTTATGTGCCCTGCAGATTTGCCCCAGTTAAAACCTAATTTCCCACTTTGTAGTAATTAGTCCAGTTCAAGCCATGCACAGCCAGGCTTGTTGGCATCGGCCAGACAGGCAGTGGTTACCTAGAGCGCCACCTGCTGGAGAGAGTCCAATATTATTAATATTGTTTAAAATGTATTTTTAGCCCTAACTAATTATAAAGGTATTTAATATATATATAGATATACATATATATACATATATATAACTTTATGCTGTCACTGGGCCTAACTGTGTCAAAGCTGTACAGCAGCTTTTTTTTTATATAATGTTCTAACAAACAACGTTTTAGAATTCATGTTGAACTTTAATAGGAACTCTGGTTTTATTTTTCATATTACATAATATGTTGTCTTTGTATTTCTTAATATTTTGATTTTTCATGTCATTTCAGTCATTTATGTTATTCAGTTAAACTTTTTCCGTGTGTGTGTTTGGTGGTGTGGTTTATCAGAAATGAACCTTTCATGCGGCTGTTGTCCAGTTATGTTTTGGTTCCTATGGCACCAAAATGTCTGGAACCGTTTCTGGATGTGCTGCATGGACATGTTGGCCGAGGTGCCTTCGGTTCGCGGTGGTAATAGCTCTCAGTTATAAAGTATTGGATGATCTAAACTGAAGTCTGGAGCTGGGACACAGGCCTTTAAAGGAAATATTGGAAGCCAGTGTAAGGATTCTCAAACATCTGCAGGGAAAGTTATTTTTACACCGAGTTAATACCTGAAGAGCGACAGCTCCATGGACATTACTGTGAGAATCTCAGAACAGTGAAAGTGAGCTGTCTGAACAACAGTGAGGCTGAGCCTGCCACATGTTCCAGGGAGAGGGAGAGACACAGGGAGAGAGTGAGGGAGAGAGAGGTCTCTCTGGGGCACTGACACCGGATCCCAACTCCAAGTCCTGGGACAGGGATGAGAGCCAGCTTAAGGGGGGCGTTCAGGGGGTATGTGAGGGGTGGAGGTGCTGGGAACGAGGGAGGACAGAAAAGATTGTCCACGGGTGCTTGGGAAGCTGAATAATATGAAAAAGGAGGGGGGGTACCATCCTGCACAGCAGCCAGATGGAGAGCAGATGACTTTAGTTATTCCAAATACTCCAAGGAAAGGAAGAGGAGGTGGAGAGGAGGAGAAGTAGAGAGGAGGTGAAAAAGGAGGTAGAAAGGGGAAAGGAAAACAGACAGAAGTAAAAGTTTCCCTTGATCTAAGGTAGAATTGTCTGCTTCCATGAGAAAAAAAAATCATAGCCATTCATTATTTTTAATAGATATTAAAACCATAGAGAGACATCAGAAATACGACTGTAACAACTTAATTAAACGAAGTCTGGTGTCATCAAGCATTCGTGCTTTTTACCCAAAATTATATCTAATCATTCGCTCGCTTCACTATGTTGTAAGTCTGCCTCCTGCTGCAGAAAGTCGGATTTATACGGTGAAATTGCAACGTCACCATTGCAGGTCTCTGCTGCCATCTACTGGCTGAGACACATAATCGATATGGAAAACCTTTGTCAACCGAGTTAGATAATTCTGTTCATTCTTGCTGTTAATGTAATAAACCCCAATTAACACATTGTAAGAACAAGACAAAAAAAAGGCTGGAAAGAATTAAAAGAATACATTTTAAATAAAATACACACTGTGGAGAAAACTGGTGTTCTAAACTGATACTTTTATATAATATGTTATATCATATTATATAATAAATAATATATTATTTATATGATATGGTTTTGATGTATGCAAATTTTCGGGCCTATATGATCGATATTCGTTCATTCGTTTGTTCGTTTCAGCCACACATTTTCGGACCTACATGATCGATATTCGTTTCTTCGTTCATTCGTTTGTTCGTTTCAGCCTCAGCCAATCAGCATTGGGGAGAGGCGACATCTCTGAGATCCAGGAAACCTTTCTTCTCCGCCGCGGCCAGTACGTATGTAGGGTTCACTTCCGCTACACGTTTGTTTTTCAAAATAAATCTATATATCTTTTTTACTACATAAAGGCATATATTACACACGAAGGCACACATTTATACACTTTGAAATTGTTGTATTACTAAATCATATACATCATTTCATATTAGAAAACACATAATCAGCCACATAGAAATACAATTGTTGAAAAAGAATGATGTTGTACATTTAGACATGGTTGATTGACAAAGATAAAAGGACTGCGGCCAACTTAAGTTAAAAACCATTACTAGCCAAATCAGTCAACTTGGTCTAAGCCTATTTTTTTCCATTTCACTTGTGTCAGTTGTAAGCCTCTTGTTTTTAAGACAACAACACCTTTTCCGGTCTGGTTGTTTTTTGAGTCGTTAACTTGACTCAGCTCTGTTTCAGCTGCAATCTTGACTGATGAGTGCGGCGGTGTTGTGGACGCTGCCGCCTCCTTCGTTAAAACACATTTTTCCTGGTTTACACCGAGTTTTCTGGAAGGACTCTCTTCGGCGGTGAAGCATCTTCCGCGCTTTTCACGATGTCGGTGGCCGGGCTGAAGAAACAGTTCCACAAAGCCAGTCAGGTAGGGACTCCATTACTGCTTCACAACAACAATTGATTGGATGTTTACCGTGTTGCTGCAGCTAAACGGTTAACGGCACCAGGTTTCGTGTGGAATAGCATGTTATATAGATATTATTTGAACAGAATGTGATGTTTTTATTCGTATTTTCGTTGCTAAGTTCCTGTCCTGAGGTATTTTCACGCCCTGGTTGGTACCGTTACTTTTCCATCATGACAAGTTCCCGACGCGACGCGTAGACATCACCACCAAAGTCAATTGAAACAACGATAAATTCAAATAATAACCGAACCAGTGCAACTGCCTCTTGGCCGATAGGTAAAACTATAGAGACAGCAAATATTAATGAACAACCGCCGATGTTTCGGCTGCATTTCTTTCTCCGATGTTAGTCGTTTTGTTGACAATATCTTTGGTGGATATGAAATGTATGATAACGGTCCTGCCACACGTTAAACTGATAAAATAAGAATTCAAGGCCAAGTAAGACTGGTCATAAAGTTTGACTTATTCTTCCAGCATATAAATCTGATTTTTTTTTTCCCTGCTGGTCAGGTGTCTGCTCAATTATAGCCGACCAAAAACACAAAATAACAGAGGTGTCTGCTCAATAATAGCCGACCAAAAACACAAAATAACAGCCTTTTCGCAGTTCTGTAAGTGAAAAGAAAACAAAAACGCATTATTAAAGCCGTTATTGTACTTTGTCCACTCTGGTTATATCTTTTTAATCAATATATTGGCATTTTCATGTTTAACCTATTGCCCTGGAGAAGATGAAAAGTCAAACTGTGCTTAAAGGATTCTGTACTGGTGCAGACTCAAACAGGTTTTACCTGGACATTCTAATTTTGGATGAGATCTGGCAACCCTAAATGGACCATAAATGACAGGAATTGTCTAGAAGCTTCTTAAAATACACTCTCAATGATTCTAAGTAAATTATGTAGTCTGTGTTAAAGCTTGGATGAAGAGCATTTTCACTTTATTAAGTACATTTATGCATTTTAACGTTCTACCTTTGCTGTAGTTTGTTGTTAATTTTTGTTCTCATTAGTCTTTTATAATATTTTTCAGTGCTAGTCCTTAAATAGCTCTCTATGTTTTTTGCTCCCACTGCCAGATTACACTGTGGTGGGTGTCAGTGACGCACTCCAAACCATTACCAACATTTAGAATATATAACTGAAAACAAATTACTGGATCCTCTGATTGTCCGAATGAGCAGTGGCTGCTTTAATCAGTAAATAATAATAATAAATGCTTTAATCAGTCAGACATTTCTTGAGCTTTTCTTTGGACCCGAAAAGCAAATTTCGGAATGATCTGGCAGCAGGTTCTCAGGTGGAAGTGAAGTGGGTTGGATCGCACTTTGGCAGGAGGTTTTCTTCTTCCTGTCTCGTTGTCCATCTGTTCACTGCTCCCTCATCACACATGTCGTCTCCTGATGGTTGCTACTGCGATGGTACATACAATACAGTATACATGTTTCAGGCTGTGTTGAGTTACAGACTCAAATACCAGTGAATTTTCGGTTGTCCTTTGAGAACTAGTTGTCTTAGCTTAGTCGACTTTTGACTGGTTGTTCTTTTTTTTTTAAGGTTCTGTGAAACACTGACTGATTTTGTACTGTACTCACTTCCGGCTCTCTCCTAAAGAAAACACTGAATTATCCAGAGGCTCAGAGGCTTAGTTTGACTGTTTAACTGTCAGACATTTCATTTATATATTTTTGCCATTTGAAACAACATTGATATAAAACGCATTTCATGAACGATGCTACGAACGGGACAGACTGGAGTATATAGTAATTAAGGGGTTGATATTAATGTTGGTTATTGGAAATCAATAAAATGACCTCAGAAATGTTTATTGTCTCTAGTGCGCCGTCTAGTGGTTAAGGTAAAAAGCCAGGTAGTGCAGGATAAAGGCAAAGAATCTGCATTCAAAATATGTTCTTTACTTTCATTTGAAAAAAAATGGACTAATGTTTCAAAGGTTGGATTTAAAACCTCAACGGACATTATCAAGGCCACAAACCATAGTTTGTCTGTTCTGGCAGTGTGCTGTAAAACTGACTAATGAATAGTTCACGATATTTTGACAAACTGAATTCTCAGACTGATGTTTTTCCTCTGTGCTGATCCTTTTTTAAATCTTCTTGTAGCACGTAAAAATCTAGACCTTATCCTTTGTATTTAGATTGCAGCTTGGTGTTCTGTCGTATGATAACTTCATAACAAACAACGTCTCTTGTCTCAACCACATGTCTCGCGTGTCCTCAATGTCCCTAGAGTACGCCCTGCCACCAACACTCTTCTCCAGCTCAGCGGTTCATTTTTAAAAACCCGCAGAACTGGAAGTGTTTCACACGTGTTACACTTGAAGTGTCGCCTGACGCACCGAGACACGTCCACCTGTCTGGACGTGTCTCGATGTGTCAGTGACAGGAAAATCCTTTATCCCTTAAAGGTGATGAAAGTACACGAAGTACATGGCAAAACTTCAGACTGCCAGCTCGCTGCAGGCACAGACATGTTTCATGTTTCATTTTTTTTTTGTATTTGTGAATCCTGCAGGATCGTATTGGACTAAAATGGAGGCCATCATTCAAAATAGTTGACTTTGTAAAAAGTCATAGAGGGGCATTTTTGTTGTAGTGCCCCAGCTCAAACTGCCCAAACTACTAACGTCTGATAATGGTACTGAGCCACAAAATTCAAAAATAAACATCAAATAATAAAGTTTGACAGAAATGTATTTCATTTTATTTGAGGGTCCGGCCCCATTTAGATCTTTGTCTTTGCTCTTTGTCGTTGTTGTTGTTTTTGAAACTTGACTGTTAGGCCAGGTTTAATAATATTTTAGTATTTTAGGCTCCCAAGTTTAATACAGGGGCTACAGGGTTTAGATGAGCTTTAATAATATATTTGTGGGCTCCCAAGTTTAATACAGGGGCTACAGTACTGGTATAAAAATATTACTGCAGCGTCCGGACAGAGCAAACCTTTGATCAGTCCATGACATATTTACAGCAGAGCTTTAGCAGAGCACACTGCACACACACAGAGCCTCCCCTCCCCCCTGAGATACACTAAGTGGCAAAGTCTAACTTGTGATTGGTTCTTGAAAACAATGAAAGTCGTACAGAAATATGAAGACTTAGGAGGACTTGTCCTAGGAGCAGTGGAGGTCGTGGCGACTACTGACACATTTCTGACCTTATCCTAGATTAAATGTCACATTAAAAATGTACCATGGAAGTCAGAGTACAACTGTGCATCCGTTCCCTCCTCACACACACACACACACACACACACAGAGCCGAGAAACTGGGGGTCATGATGTGGGACGGTGTTTATTCTGGGAAAATACGAAGGTCGTCATTTATCCGATTACTTTAAGATGATTTCCATGTGCGGTCGCCAAATGTCAACCTGCCACTTCCTGTTTGTGTGTCTGCTGTGTACTGTGGTGTGTGTGTGTGTGATACAGTTTTCATCACTGACAGACATACAGTAAATCATCAGGAAAAAAACACATCTTATGGTTAACTGTTGAAAGGTCATAAAAAGTATTTTAATTTAATTTACTTTAAAAAAGTAAAATTTTTTTGTATATTATTTTTTTTAATTTTATATGTTCCTCACGTTGAGACTATATGTCTAAGACTCAAGAAGTGCAGTACCTACAGTAAGCCCGTGGCTCATCATGTTCTACAGATAATTATTATTTTAGTGCAGAGGTTTATTTTATTTAGAAAGCGTTTACAGCACCACCATTCAACATTTTAATTGTAACTTCAGAAAATAAGAGTAAAGTAATAGTTGCTAATTTCCACCCATTAACCATCCAATCAGAGTCAACGTCACCTGGTGATGTCAGCAGCAGTAGCTCATGTTGGATAGTTGAGTCCATTTAATCATTTATACAGTAGATAAGTAAAGAAAGATCATCCAATTCTTGTCCAATTTTTATCATATCAAAAAAAAAACAATAAGAAACTATTGGAATTTGTTGTAAAACAGTGTCCTGGTCCCTAATAACGTAATCATAATAAATCAATCCATTTCTAGCCTCAGCCTTTACCTTTGGTGTTTCCCTAAGCATGTAATTATACCTGCTTCTTATTGCTAGGTCCTTGATCTGTAACGCCACTCCAGGCGAGAGCTGTAAAACACATTGACTGGAACCATTTGATGAATTCTATCAGGCAGTGAGGAGTGACTCCCGCAGGCAAAGCAAATAATAGATCACTGTGTCGATACACAGGTGTGTCATGAGCTGAGCTGTGCTGCATGGGCTCACGTTGTTTGGTTTTTCACCTGTTTCCTGAGATGGAAGTGGGATCGTGACCTCCACAGAGAGCAGATAAATCAAAGCCCCCGCCCAGCACCACCATCACCACCGCCAGCTGCAGATAAGGGTCAAGGAAAACATTTAACTTCCTGTTCATTTCAAAATTACATCTGAACCATTTTCCATTGTTGTTGTAAAAACATAAGGATGTGGCGAAGCAGCGTGTTTTGTCTGATTAGATACATTTCATTATTATGATGTTATTCTCCCAGGAGTAGGCCCAACCTGGGGGTCGCAAGTTTTTAAGGTACATTTGTGTTATTGTCAGGTCAGGTGCTGGTTGTTGTGTTATGCTGAGTTTCCTTGACCATAGAGCGTTGTAGCTGTTGTGTTGTTGTTAAGATCAACTAGTTTCTTATGATTGGTTAATTAAGCAAACCTTTCTTTTGACAGTCCAGACCACTTCCTGCGTGACTTACGCTTCTCTCGATCACTTCTGAAAACGTAACAACCCTTAGGTTTTGCCTCTGAACACATCACCATGTAGACGTCTTGTTCTTAGCAGTTGAAATATAAACCCTGTCTGACCAAAGCTGCTCACAGGACTGTAGATCTTATTAACCATCCACTCATACTGCAGATACTGACCTCCAATGTGGGATCAAAAGTTCATACAGTCGCGCTCAGCTGTTTTGTCTTTG